TAGATTTGGATACAGTGGAAGGGGAATAGCCCCCCTGTCGGTTCTTTATTGCTATCTGTTGCGAGATTCAACCTCTTTATCCCGATGATCATTATAAGTCAAAAGTGAAAAGAAAATCCTAAAGTTTGGGTCGTCATCAGAACAGGAATAGATGGGAAATCTTCAAAAGTTGGATGCCAGCTGTCATCTTTAGGGTGCATTGGCTGCTCGGCTCATGGGATTTGTCCAGCCCTGCATTATGCTGAACCATCTGTTTTTACTGAAATGGTTTTAGGACAAGTTGACAATGAAGATAAACCAGTAGTATTTTAGGATCTAAACTTTCTTTCAGCTTTATTTTGCTTTGGTAGTTGTACAATGCCCAATTGGTGTAATGCGGTTTATGGAAGTTAAAGTTCTATCAAGACTCTTATGAGCTCCTGGGCACTTCTCACATTTCTTTAAAACTACCAATAAAATGTGTGTTTTTAAATGTTGAAAATCTCTCCAACAGAAACCTGGCATAATAAATCATGACTGAATTATGGATTTGGTAGCCTACAGTATATTTGAAGAGCTAGGGGAAAGATCTGTATAGTCTAATCTACCCATACTTATGTCCTAATCTGGTTGTACTTTGGCAAGGGTGCAGTGTGTGTACAGTATACCATATGCAAAATAGTATATATATATATAGTTGGAGAGGAAGTAATCATTTTTCCTTTTTGAAATCACAAGAAATAATTTTTCTCCTAGAAAAAAAACAAACATTTATTTGGTAATGGAAGTTCTTTGAACTATAGGCCTCTTTTTGAAGACTGCTGAGATTTATATTCGGGTCAATATTAAGTTACTAGGTAACATGACACTTTCCTTTTTTAAAGAGAAGAAAAAAAAACATAAATGGAGAGCTGAAAAAGTCTCCTAGCCAGCATAAAGTGTGCTTTCAGAGTCATAGCTACTGGCGAGCTCTGTGTTTTCACACATGAATAACGGCAGACTTTCATGCAGCTGGTCTGAAACAGAAACACATCCCACAAAAACGTTAATTTTTCCAGGCAGAGTTGTTGCTGTCTGTATGTATGTGTAGTGGAAAACTTGCATTCTGTTTTTACCAACGTTTGCAGATTTTGAGCTTGTTAGCGTCTCAACTGCCTTTCATCAAATGTTAAAGGAAAACTATGAGGTTAAGGCTTTTCCCCATAGTTCTCAGGGTGACGGGGGGACACAAACTAGCATCCTCCAGTCACCCTAAGCTCAGTATACCACGAGCTGTAGCTACTGCTCGCAGTATACTGAGACGCCGCAGCTGAAGCAGATCCCGACAATTATGTCTGGATCCGCACAGCTGCGTGAGTGACGCACGCTTCCATTCTATTTTTGCGCATCTTTACGTGGCGCAAAAAAACAGCTCCATACGCAGCTATGTGTATGGAGCCATTTATTTGCATATGTCGCATATGGGGAAAAATGCTGCGTGCATCTATGCGCAGTGTGAATGAGGCCTAAACGGTTGGCACCAGCTATAATTTTGAAAAAGCATTGGTTACCTGGCTCTTGGGATTTGTCCAGCGTTCATGTCTTGTTCTGTACTTTGCCTCTGTGTGGCCATCTTGGGAGAGGAATGGGGATTTGCTTCCTCATTTCAGAGCCGTCTCTTGGTGATTGGTGATCTGATAACTGGTAGGGGAATATTCAGTAACTGTGGAGATCTCCCCAACTGGGACACAAATGGTAGAAAAAAAAAAACCTTGATTGACCCTTCCTAAAATCATCCAAAACGAAATAATAAAAAAAAACCCCACTTCTGACTATTTATATCTACAAATAAAGACTTTGAGGGAGCCATGTGAGTCATGCTAAACGGTTCAAAATAGTCACATGTAGACGCCTTGCCTACAGGATAGTGTGATCTTGTAAATAAGAGACAAAGTAGGTTACTGTTGCTGTGATCATTTTACTGTTACTGTGAGCATTTGATAGGTTTGCACAGCTGTTACTACTCAAAGTCCATTTTTTGTGTGTTTTACATTTGACTGTTTGTTTCTTGAGGCAGCATAGTGACTGGATCAGAAATGAAATGGCAAAATTGTACAGTTTTTGCCTGCGCACAATTATGTATCACTCAGACTCCAGTTAATTTAATAGTGAAAGTGTAACCTTTACCTATTATGGTGCACAGCTGAAGAGGGAGGGAGTGTGCACTGTAATAAAGGGTACATTTATGGCTATGGAATATTGCGGGAAGGAGTTCTGCTGGACTGGGGAATAAGGGGAGCAAAAATCTGTTGCACTCCTCCTACACTTAGCTATAATTCAACCCATAATATATGTTTTTTGCTTTACGCTGACCAGAGTTCAAGTTACCGTGCCAGAAAAAACGACTGATTTAGGAGCCTATTGCTTCCATGGGACTGCAGTGGGACATGGGCATCAAAATTGATAAGGGCACAAAGTTCTAATATTTCTTGATAATGTACGTGTTTTTTCCCCCTCATATACATTCCTATTAGCCATTGGGGCAGCCCATTATAGTAATGGAGCTAAAGGAATGCTATAGTTGGTGAGCTGGTGGTGTGACGAATGAATTCATCAAGTTTTGCTCTGCTGGCATTGCAGCGAATTAGGCCCTGTGATATCCTTCATAGGGCTTGATATTTGTTGGTGTTTAATGGACTCCTTACTGGTTCACTTCCACAAGAATAGGAGTGTGGACCATTATGCACCTAGTATTAATCCACAAAAACAGATGCTTTAAGCTGGCCATATAGTACAATAGTAGATTTCCAAATGAACTTTCATGTGAAAGATCTTTCTTTACCACCTGATAATGCCATCAGACACTTGACGAATGTTGATCGAAATTTTGTTTTGATTTTTTTTTTTTTTAACATTAGATTTTGGAATGAATGGCGTTTTCACAAATGAAAACCACATTCACTGTTAGATTTCGTTCCTTCGAGAAAACTTTTCCATCCTACTCCTTCGCGTTTTTCCATCACTACGGTCGAAATCGATAGTCTATTTGACCCCATCAACTAATAGAATGTCTAACGTTCTTTTGTACGAAAGTTCTTTCAAAAATCTAAGCAGTGTATGGCCAGCTTAAGTTTTGATAGATGCTGGAGAGTTATTCCACCTCACAATTGGCTGTTTAGGATTCTTTTTTTTCAGTCAACCTTGCAAGGAGCAGTCCTATCCGAGTGCCCAGTGGCAGAAGTTGAAAAGAGCAATCGACAGGAGATGAAAATCTTTTAGGACATCTTCCGTGGATGCTTGAATCTCTAGATACTCTCGCAGTACACTGCGCTAGTAATTTCACTTGCATGTGCATTGTTTTTCATTGCGCTTGCTTCTTATGCTTGCTTTTGTTTCTTCTCTGCCTGTGTACACAGATATGTTTGTAAGATTGGCAACACATACCCCAATATTTGCCTAGATAGATGCGACAGATTTAAATATGCCAAGCTGTGATTGGCACACTAGCAGTGAAGCAGCAGTGCAAGACGTAATAAAAGGAGTCTCCTACTAATAATAAAACACTAAGAAAAATCTTCTGGTAATGGATGTCATTTTATCAGCAGTAACTTTGACAGCTGTGTAGTACTAGCTATGTAGGAGAAACTTCCACATGAGCATCATCAGTTCAGTCAAGGTTCACGGATACAAAAAAGTGATGAAAGCTGAATTTGTTTGCACTTCCATTGTCAGTTCAGTTTCCATCCGTTTTTTTACATGTCCGGTTTGGACCTTTTTGTTCTTATAGTACGCTAAATTCCCATGATTCTTTGCATTGAACCTGCCACGCTGCATTACGACATCAGTCCCAAAAAATGGGACGTAACCTGAACGGATGTAAACTGATCATCAGTCCCAGTCAGTCAAAACAGAGAGCTGATCAGTTTCCAATTGCGGACCTCAACTGACACGAATGTTTGCAGATGTAAACTGATGGTCATCAGTTTTCATATGCACTTTGTCCTGTTAATTATACTGTTGAAATTAGGTATGCACCGATGTATCGGCCGCCGAAACATATCGGCCGAAAATTGCACTTTTTGCATAATGCCGAAAGTGCAATTTTCCTGCCGATACATCGGCGCATTCCTGTTTTCTCTCCTCCCCGCTGGGCGCTGCTCTGTGTCCCAGTGGGGAGGAGAGAAACTGTGATAGCCAGCTGAGCGCTGCGGGAGGAGAGCGCTTTGAGTGACCGGCGTCTCCTCCCACACCGCTCAGCCTCCTATTACAGTCCAGAGCAGTGTGTGGGCGGAGACAGACCGCTCTGTCACAGGAGGCTGAGCTCTCCTCTCTGCTCTGCCTCCTGTGACAGCGTGTCAGAGAGGAGAGCAAGGTACAAACACTCAGCGATCAGTGATCGCTGAGTGTTTGTAGATAATTGAGTGTCCAATTGGTATGTGTACTATATCCTAAATTATGAATGAATGGGAAGTGATCTACATCACCTCCTGTTCATTCATAGTTGTAGTTATAGTAAACATACCATGTCCTCATGAATGAACAGTAACACTCATAGAGGATTCCTGATCATTGATAACAGGGGATACAGAAAAAGAGATTGAGGAATTAGTCCTCAATCTCTTTTTCTATTTTAAAAGGGAAATATCAGGGGTCTGTTTAGACCCCTAATATTTCCCCGAAGCCTTCCCAGAAGAGTTGAAGCTATTATAGCTGCAAAGGGTGGGCCAACTCAATATTCAACCCTACGGACTAAGACTGGGATGCCATTAAAGTTCATATGCGTGTAAAGGCAGGCGTCCCAATACTTTTGACAATATAGTGTGTGTGTGTTCAGCAACAGTGTGTGGATTGATTTATCTAAGTACACATACATATATACAAACAAGCAAGGGGAAAGCGACAGCAGAACTTAGTGTAAGCCATCATCATTCTAGCTGAAAGACACTGGTGTATAAATATTTCTTTTTCTATGGGTTGCCAGTGAGTTTATTTTAAATATAACCATGGCTTATCTTTTTTTTTTTTTTTCTGTTTCAGGAGCTACTTGGTCCACATTGTTTAAAATTGCACTTCTACAGCTGATATTAGGTGACAACTAGGCTGTACAAGACTTTCTTCATCATATTACAATTTTTTTTGGTTGAAGTAGGCAAAACATTTTTTGAAATGCTGATAAGAAAACTCCGCCATTGTAAAGTGAATTGTGTAAGAATTTTCCTTTGCATAGCTCTTACAGCTGTGACTCTTATGCTGGTTAAGAACCACAACAAAACTCTGTTTTTTAGCAAGAGAAACTTGGAATTGGAGGAAAACCAAGACCACGTGAACTGCACCAAAATCATTAATGGGGACATTGAGGAAATTCAGAATGCCAAATTGGAGCTGATCAGAGTGGACCATAAGAAAAGGCACATCTGGCTGACCGAAAAAGACTTCATCAACATGACAAGAGACTGCTACTCCTTTACTAGAGATCGTAAATATATCCTCTATCCCCTTAGTCAGGAGGAGAGTGAATTTCCTATAGCCTATTCAATAGTGGTTCACCATAAAATTGACATGCTGGAAAGACTTTTACGCAGCATTTATATGCCTCAGAACTACTACTGCATCCACTTTGATAAAAAATCTTCAGAATCCTTTATGGCCGCAGTGAAAGCAATTGCCTCTTGTTTTGAAAATGTTTTCATTGCGTCCCAACTAGAGAATGTGGTATATGCATCATGGACTCGAGTTCAGGCTGACCTAAACTGCATGAAAGACTTGTATGATGGCAATACACGGTGGAAGTACTTAATAAATCTTTGTGGTATGGACTTCCCAATGAAGACCAACAGGGAAATAGTGCAAGTGCTGAAAGCATTAAAGGGAGAGAACAGTCTTGAAAGTGAAAAGATGCCTGGGAACAAAGAATTCAGGTGGAAAAAACACTTTGAAATAGCAAACGGTGGTATTCAAAAAACAAATATTGATAAAGAACCTCCACCTTTTCAAATTCAAGTATTTTCTGGCAGTGCCTACTTCATTGTCAGTAGGGCATTTGTTGGGCACGTTTTGGAAAATGACAATGCAAGAACATTGCTTGAATGGTCTAAGGATACCTATAGCCCAGATGAATTTTTGTGGGCTACCCTAAATAGAATTTCAGACGTGCCTGGCTCGGTTCCCGCAAATAGTAAATATGATGTATCCGATATGAATTCCATAGCCAGATTTGTGAAATGGCAATATTGGGAAGGAGATGTCGCCAAGGGTGCCCCATATCCTCCATGCAGTGGGACCCATATCCGCTCAATTTGTGTCTTCGGTGCTGGGGACTTGCAGTTCATGTTGAAGCAGCACCACTTGTTTGCAAACAAATTTGATGTTGATGTGGACCCCTCTGCTATTCAATGCCTGGAACAACATTTAAGACACAAAGCTTTGTATCCAAATAGCTACACTTGAACAGTATACATAGTGCTGTAATCCAGGATTGTGTTGTGTTTTTTTTTGTTTTTTTCTCCATTTGATGTGACAAATCGTCCTTGCACATTGCAAGTAGTACTAGATTATAATAGAAAAAATATGTACAGCTTTAGACTATGCACTATTCCACAGCTGGGAAGATGTATAAGGATTTTAATTAGACTCCGTAGGAGTTACAGTGCAATAAAATCCCAGCTGCGATGTCCTATCTTCATATTAGATTGAGGCATTTATTTATAGCTGTGACTATTTTATGTTGATATGGTTAGGTAAGGTTATAACAACCAAAGAAAATATTTCAACACCCTGGCACATTTTTGTTTAAAAAGTAAATGTTTATATGGAGCACCTGTTAACCATATCAGGCTTTCCCTAAAAAGTGGGGCTTTTGATGTCTAATGTGCAGTGTTTCTGATCTACTAATGTTATATTTTGGACCACTGCTAGGTAGCGTTTTCAAATCCTACCTGTGCCTGTCATACCATGCATTCTTGGAGAAATTGCTTTGTTATGAATGTCACTAGCCATTTCCTGTAATATTTTTAAGTGGTCATACAGATTGCAGACAGTGCCCTTTTGCTTCCATGTAGTAATCTCCTCCTTTTTTTTTTTCTGGTTAACTTTTGTTGAACATATTTAAAGTTTCTGGTAGAACAAAGCTTTAGTTTTAAGAGTGCCATTCAGTCATCACTAGAACCCATCGTAATATAGCTTGCCCTAAGGGTTGTAGTTGAACATTTGGACACCATAGTCATTTGCCAGAACCACATTTGATTCATAATTAACACTCCAGGTATTCCCCTAAGGGTTAACCAATTTTTTGTTCATGTAATACTGTAGTGAAAAATCCAAAAAAGCATGAGTAAGCCTTGGATCCCAGTGTGAAACTGCCATGGATCCTAAGCCTTTTAGATGGGGATCCAGCATTTATCCACTTCTAAATCACCTCTGGTGCATTTCTAGCTGTGTGTAGCCAGATATTTACAGATTAATTTTACCACTGAACATTTTTTTTTTTGCCAGGAAATAAGAGATTGCAGTAGTCCAATTCCTACCCAAGTAAAAGCCGCTGAAGCCCATATTCTTCTTTTAGGTCTCATCCAAAGTGGAGTTTATTAGATTTTTTTTCTGCAGCCAAATTTAAAATGTTCATGAATTTATGTGGCCAAAGGTTTTTAAAAAAAATTAAACCAATCTGTAATTATCGTTTTACATATAGTTGGGATAAAAATACTCTGGCAGCTAAAGAACCTCTTCACTAGTGCTTAAATGTTCTTGTCATCTGAAACATATTTAATATCTGTCCAAATGTCTATTGTATTTTGATGCCTCCTTTTTTTTTTCTCTTCCTCCAAATCCAAAAGCCTATATAATAGATTAATACACAGAACACCTTTCCTCAGGGCATTTTTTGGTATCGTTAAGTGCCAGTCCAGTTTTCATAGGATTAATATGTTATATTTTTCTACAAAATCAAACACTTTTATATTTCGGGGTCAGGATTATCACAAATGAGTACTGAGCAGTAGTTTCGATGTTGATTTGAATAAAACCAAAACTTGCTTAATTTACATTGTGTCCGTTTCTTTAACATTTCTGCTACAGTTTGATAACATTTGCTTGCCATTTCTTTGGTCATTCTGTATCCGTGGTTGTTCTGTCTGCATTGTCACACCGCTGTTAAAGTAGAGGTTTACAGTTTTAAATGGAACATTTTGAATTTGCTTGTTCTCAGACTAGGGGAAGATTCTGATTGCAGAGTGTGGCTAGGACACGGAGCTCCCAGGCTGCACACAGAACAATTTAGCGACAAGTAAAGCACATTTTTAATGTTACTTTCATCATCAAACACCCTGGCAGGTTCACTTCTTAAGTATTTAAATGTAAATGTTATCTTCAAAAGGGGGTACAAAGAGGTGTCAATGGAGACAAGTTATCTTTATGAAAATTAAGCAGATATTGAAATATCCCACTGAAAATGGGGCATTCTGGATGTAATATGAAAGATCCAGAATATGACCAGTAACGTACCCTGTAAACATAACACCCTAACATTTTTCAAGCCCTGTGTGTGTGTGTGTGTGTGTGTGTGTGTGTGTGTGTGTGTGTGTGTGGGTGGGTGTGTGTGTGTG